CAGTAACAGACGTGAGTAGATTTGTTCTGCTGGAGTTATAACATGTTAAAAAAAAAAAAAAAAATCTGGCAGAGTCCTTAAACTATAAAAATCCTGCAATTACAACCACTGCTGTGCATGATCACCACACTGGAGCCAGACACTTTCACTCATAGCTCAAGCTCACATCCATCTGGAGTCTATCAAGGCAACCGTGAGCGTAACAACTTACACTAGGTTTCAAACTATGTTTTTTGTGTTTGTTTTTTAACACTAAAGATACCCTCAGATTTTCCACGTAGCACCTACTCTGAAAAATACATACATACAAATTCCTCATTCCTGCTTTACTTACAGCAAGCTGTCAAATATGAGTTGCAAAAAAACTCAAGGCAAAAAAATCAAACCTCCAGACAATACTGAATAGCCTGTTTCACACAGCTGTATACATGCTTGTCTACCAACTGTTGGATAAAATATGTATTATAAATATTTTATTAAACATTATTCCAGTACTACTGGCATGAGAAACTTTGGGAAAAAAAAGCCTTGCAAGTTACAATTTTATGTCAAATTAAAGTGGTTGGAAGTGAACCAAGATTTAAAATATTTGCCTTTTACTAATATTCTAAGTAAAGCTTAAGTCTATAGAAGTTTCTGAAACCTAGATTTTTATATTCTGAAGATGTCTCAGACCCAGTGCTTCTTTCATCCCTGGTGCAAAGCTACAAGTACATTTCAGTCCAATTCATTTCTCAATGTATCTTAAAACAAGTCTGAAGTTTGAAAATTAATCAGTATTTTTCCTTCATAGAAATGGAACTGACAACTGTAAAACACTGAGTTTATTACTATGCATTTTCCATTTCTGAATTTTCCTTGTCTGTTAAAACCACATTACAAGTGGGGAGAAAGTCTCCTCTGTGATTACTTTTGCTACTAGAATTTCAAAAGCCATGAAAGATGTAACAGTGAATGCACTCAGAAACTTCAGAAACCAGATTAAGAAATTCTTTATAACAATAGAAAGTATATATATATGTTCTTCACCTCAGATTTCTAATAAAAGTGATTGAGTATTTAAGCAGAATTGCCTCCACTTGAAAAAGCATGACATAGTTTTTGAGGCCCTTTAAGAACTCATTTTATGAAAGAAACTATTTTCAATATTCTATTACATGTATGACCATATTTCATAACTCACAAGTCTCTGTGTTAGAAAGCTGAAATATAACTCTGAACATCAATGTTTGTGTGATAAAAAAATTGAAAGGAAGGCCTAATGCATAAAGGGAGAGGGCAAGTGTTTCTTCACACATTTTATAAATATAACTTTCAGACTCTAACTTAATTTACAACACTTAGTCACAATTATCATCTTCTTCCTTAGAGAACTCAGAAACCTGAGCCCCAAGTCAAATTTTAAAATGCAAATCCAGCAACAGCTTCTTAATCAGTCCCACTGGGGCCTATAGAGCTGCTAATTCAGCAGAAATCAGGAGAGCTGAAAAACAAAAAGCCAGGCTGTAGCTGTTTTAAGACACTGATCCAAAGTGACTCATAAATCAGCTTGCTATGTTCAAGTTTTAGTCTGGAAAATATTGAAAAACAGCTGTGAAAACCATACAGCCCTTTTTTCTGGCAATTCTGGTAGAGAACTAGAGGATTTATAAAATGTAAATACTAAAGATGTAATACAAACACAAGTGAAAACCATCTTTCAGACTTTCCCTCCTGCCCCACCGTCAGCTTTAGCATTCCTTGGTGAACCTGGCAAGGGGTACGGCAGTGCCACCGGGAGTTTACACACATGGAGGACACCGGCCAATGCTCAACACTACCTCCCTCCGCCTCTGGCTCTGCTACACCAGCTCTAACAAAACCACATTCTCAGGACACACATCCTGGAAGCAAATGGAAATCTAACTTCAAAACTGTTTGTACACAAAACCATTACAAATGTTTATCAGTTTTCAGTGGACTGTTATCTTCCATGAAGGCAGGCTTACAGAAGATGGTATTTTTGGCTAGAATTGCCACTGTAAAGTTGGCAATTATAGCCTGTTTACACCCCATTTTGTGAAGCCACTTGCGTACAAAGCAGTAGCCTCATGCCACCAAAAAGAAGGGGATGTAACTCAGTGCTCAGACTTATTTTTTATTTCCCTCCTTGTCCATTCTGAGGTCACACAGCCTTTCCACATTAGACACTCATTTTATTTCACTGGGAGATCTGAACACAAAAGGAATGAAAGAGTGAAACTGAGCTTCAAAAAACCAACTTCATCCAATCTGCTCTCCATCCGGGCAAGTAGATGGATGGGCAGAGGAAGGCGTAAAGCCTAACGTGGGTGTAGACCTTCTCAGGCACAAAAGCTTTCACTCTCCTGCTTGGGCGATCCCACCTTAGTATGTTGAGAACATGGTGTAATAGCTGTTGTTTTCTAAAGAGGATTGGAAAGCCTGCAATTAAACTACTAGCCTTTGGCTATACCTGCTATGGACTTCCATGGAAAACACTGTAAACGTATATCTATAAAATTCATAAACAGACTTTTACAATTTGTAAATGCACAGTTTGTTGCAACAATAATCCAAAATAGTCCAACCTTTTTTGCATATGTAAAACTGAAACACATTATGATCTTGCAGATTGCGCAATCCCAGCTCCAAGTACTGGAGTAGCTGGAAGTAACAGACAACGCAGAACTTTTCCTTGTTCTCTTGTTAAGAAGAGGGGAAGGAAGAAAGAGCAGGGTACTTCTAAGGCATTTGACACAAACAAAAGAAATATTTACACAAAAGGGGCCAGATCACATGGTTTGGTGACACCTAAAAGATGTTCTTCTGTGATTTTAAGAGCAAGTGACACAGCTGTCCAATGAGTAATCACAGCAGGGTTTCTTACAACAGACTAAAGCTTATTTATACAAGTGGAACTTATTTTCTCACACTTTTAAAGGAATGTGAACTTACATAAGGACAATTTACACTACCAAGGGAATTCTAATTAGAAAAACATCCCTTGTGCCAACAAAAAAGCCCTGAAATGTGTTTTATTGCCTCTCAGTAACATAAGTGGAAAAGACAAATTTGGATTACTGCTAATGCAAAATGCTTTTTAAAGCAACTCTAAAAATGAAAGCTCTGTGATTTTCCCCCTTGTTTTTTCGTTTAGCATGCTGTCACACCTGAATTCTAACTTAACTGTGCTAAAGTACGCTAAGCTAAGAAATTAAGCTATGAAGCTTAGCTTAGTATCAAAAAGGCCTTAAGTTTTGTCAGAAAACTTATGTCAGCATACCGAAATAGTTCAAAAGAACAGGAGGACTGAAATTTAATAGGAAGCAAAACCAGTTGTTGAATGTAAAGCAGATCCGGTATCTGATTCGTATGCTTCAATCACATAAACCAAAAGAGGGGAAAAAAACCCAACCCAAAACAAAACGTTTCTTTCCCCTCACACTTTCCTATGCCCCTCCTGGAAATATTCAACTCCCAGAGCCATTCCTATGTTCAGTTCCATATGGTGTCAATACAGCCATCCACATTTCATGAGTAAAGCAGCATGACCTCCAGACGAGGCAATTGAACGGAATTAGCCACAACTAATTGAAAGTCTTCCTGTTTACTTTAAAGTCCTTATCTCAATCTGCTTTGGAAATGTAATAGAAAATTAATACGACTAATATAGAAGGTCTTTGAGTGACAAGAGATTAAAAACAAATGTGAAAAGTCCTTCAGCTATTTTCAGGCTTTTAGAAAGCTCCCATAATTTATGCTTTGTCCATAAAAGTTTGTCACTGAAAGTAAATTTTCTGCAGATGGCATTTCAGTACGCGTTCCTGCGGATTCAGTGAATCCGTGCCACCGGACCGAGCGGGACAAGCTCCAGCGACAGCAAAACCATTAAAGCAAAAACTACCAGGGAACGAAGTGGAAGAACTACGCAAATAAAACCGAGACCAGCTCTCCCATCGCACAGATCAGCGTTAACCTGACGATTATAACACGCTTCCCAAGGAAGCCCTCAGAACTTTCTTCCTCCCCTCTCCGAGTGCCGAGCCGCGCTGCAGGGCCCGGTTTCAGCCCGGGCGCTCACCGCCACCGCCTCCCGGGGCCGCGGCCCACCCGATGGACCCCGCCCGCCCCGCACCTCACCACCGGCACCTCCCGCTTCGCTCCGCCGCAAAACCCGCGCTGCCCTTCCCCAAAGCCCGCCCGCCGACGGGACGGCAGGTCCCGCCGGGCACCTCGCCCCGCCACGGGCAGAAGATGGCGGATCGGGCGCGGGGCCGGCACCCCCTGCCCCGCCGCCACCACCACCACCACCACCCCCCGCGGAGCCCGCCGCCCCGATACTCACAGCTGCACCGCCCCCCGCGGCAGCCGCTCGGGCAGCCGGCTCAGCTCCAGGCGGCTGCAGGCGACGAGGTGCCCGGCGCAGCGGCAGGGCGGGGGGCACGGGGCGGCGGGACCCCCCAGCAGCAGCAGCAGCAGCAGAAGGGCCAGGAGGGCGACGGGCGCCGCTCGGGGCCGGCGGGGCATGGCGGGCTCGCAGCCGCTGCCCGCGCTCTCCCGTCCCTGGCGCTCCCTCACTGACAGAGCCAGGCGCGGCGCGACCTCCCGCCTCTCAGCGCGGGTGGCGGCTCCCGCTCATGCCCCGGAGCCGCTGCCAAGGGGGGAAAGGCGGTGGGAGACGGGGCGGGGGGGGGGGGGGGGGGGGGGGGGCTTGGAGAGCGTAGAAAAAAAGTAAAGGGAGAAGCGGGATGGGACGCAGGGGAGGGAGGGGGGGCTCGGGGCGCGGCCGGCCGCCAGCCACTCCGCAAACTTTCCGCTGCTTCAGCCCGCCTCTGCGCGGCCGGGGGAGCCCCGAGCGCGGCCCGCCCCGCCGCAGCCCCCTCCCCCTGCCATGTGACAGCTGCAACCCCCGCCCGCCCCCGGCCGGCATGGCCCCGCGGGGCTGGGGGGGGGGGGGGGGGGGAGTGGAACGCGTAGGATGTTGGGCAGGTACGCGGGTGGGCTGGCGTCGCGCCCCGCTGCTGCCAGCCCGCGGCGGTACCCCGGGCCCGTTGCCCGCCCCCCCCGGGGGAGGGGGTACGGCCGACGGCCGGCTTCTCGCAGCACGGCGGGCGCACGTGTGGGCCCTCGCTGCCTTTCCCCGGGCTCTCTGGGGGCGGGCGGGAACGGGCGGCGGGCCCTGGGTGCCGGGGCCTGGGTGCCCTGAGCGTCGCCCACTGCCCAGGGAAGGTGAGGGCGCCGGGGCCCTGCCCGCGCAGGATTCCCCTTCGCCGCCGCGCCGTTCCGCGCGAGTCGGGGCAATCCAGGAGCTGCTCCAGAGGCCCCAACAGGTTCCCAGCCAAGCCTGGGGTCACCGGCATGCAAAAGGTGAGGTGAGGTTAACTCCTGCCTTCCGGGTCCTGCGCGGCTAGTCCAGACACCGTAATTAAGCCCATTATGTTCCCCACAGGATCCCAGCTCCAGAGGTTCAGGGAAGTGGGCAGGGCGTACAGATTCCACATCTCTGAGGTAATCTATGTAATTTAAGTAAATACCTATTGTTCAAGTTCCATATGTAAGCCTGGACCCTGCAACGGATTCAATTACTGTAGGCTTCACACACCCCTACTCTGCAGCAGCAGACGTCAGACACTGTGCTTTCTCTCCCACCTTTATACGTTTCACCTGAAAGGCTGTAGACATCTTAGACACTGGGAACCTGGAGCCTCGAAATCCTGACAGCTCTGATAGCAAGATTTGTAAGGCTGAAACTTTGTCCCGGCTCTTACTGTTCCCATGTGTATCTCAGGGCACAGGTTAAATTCAAGAAACTACATTTTAATCGGGAATCATGAATTTTCAAGTCAGGCAGGCAAGTCCTCAGTAACTACAAACATTCACGTGCTACTGTCAACACAACTGTTTCAAGTGCACAGGGTGGTGTGCAGAGCTGTGCAGTGTTTTGTCAGCTTGCGCTCCATTGACCACTGCTGTTAAGGAAATTGCTGCAGGAAAACTAACACTGCAGGAACACACATTCTTTCTACACATAAAAGCAAAGAAACAAAGGGTAAAAAAAATAATTAGTATTTATTTACAAGATACTCATATATTTGTAAATGAAAACTGACTTAGCAGCATCAACGTGTCATAGTTCAGTTTCCTTGCAGCCACCTTTTTTCAAAAACTTCATGGTGGCATTAGATCAGGAAAGCCTATGAAACACTGAGCTGTTCTAAACAGCCAGTAGGACAGTGACAAATCCAGACTGTCAAAGCTATCTATCATTAGCCTGTACCTGTTCCCATTGAAGTCAGTGGGAAAACTTCCTTCTCTTTCAAAAGTACCAGCATTTGTTCTAGCTGTCCAGTTGTTTCACACCATCACACCAAGATACAGGGACGCTTGAACATGTTGTGTTCCTATTTAGGTAAAATATGCTATATTGGCTACTTTGGCAAAGCAATCAAAAATTCAAGAGGAAGACCTTCATGTTTATGTTGCTCCAGAGAATTACTGAGCACCTTACTAAAATTAAAATGGATTTAAAGTAACTAAGCCTTGTAGAGAGCACAGCGAAGGGCCTCTTATTTGGGAAAAGTGAGCTTGTCTTATCTTGAGTGTTGGCAAAGGCTGTGATTCACTAGTAAGTGGCAACGGAGTCATTAAGCTGTCAGTTTTAACATTCAAAGGAAAGAAGAAATAGAAACAAAGCATTTTGAACTTACTTTATCATAGCAGTCAACAATATACATCATGCATATGTGAGGTATGGAACGAGAGAATCTGAGAAGAGAAAGCAGAAAAAAAAGATTAAAATGATGAAAAAGGCAAGAACTTCTGGTTTTGCAATTTTGAAAACCACTCATGCAGTCATGGAATGCTGTGCCCTTAGAAAAACCTAATGCATATTTAGTGCTAATAATATATGAAGCTGTTTTAAATTAAGCAAGGTAAATCAATTCAGAAAATTAATCCATTTATCTTTGCAGCTTCTTTTCTCAAAATACCCAAGAAAACAGTAAAACTGATTATATTATGAATTCTAAAATGTTTATATGCTGTACTTCAGAATCCGTGACAGAAAGTCTTTCTTCCCACAGGGACATTTGTTGTCTTCAGAAGTGTCAGGGACCGATTCTGCATCTGATACAAACGCTTCAAGCACTGGCAGCCCCCAAGCCCAGGGGTCTCCTCATCATTAGTTTTAGGTTGAGACTGCATCATGACTGTGCCTAAGCAAATACAAATGTCTTATTCACAGGTTTGGCTGGACTATAATGCATCTGCCCTAAGTAAGCTTGTATAAAAATGAGAGGTCTCACATTCCTCTACCATGTTATCTCCACATGTAGCAAAGCATTTCTGCCAACCTTTGTTTGGCATCAGCATTACTGATTTGTCTGAAACCCTATCAAAAATAACAACACACACACACCCCCACACACCCCGCTTTAGTTCTGAGTTGGAATAATTCCCTCATCCAGTTTTCCATGTAACTGCACAAGGAAGAGAACTTATCTGTGGTGGTTACGCAAAGACGGGCCCTTTCCACGGCAGCCTGAATATAGGTCAGCCTGAGGGGATGATGTTGAGGAGGGGGAAGCATGGCTGTAGAGAAGAATTCTTGTAAAACTAGACCCTCAAGCTCTCTCTTTGGCTAATGAGATTGGTTTCATCCAGGAGACTACTGAGAATAGTAGTCTGGGTGAGTTGGGAGTAGAGGAAAGGGGGTTGCATAGAGAACTGTAGACTCTGCATTGGGATGTTATGGGTTGACTCTAAAAGTATCTTTTTCAGTCCCTGATTATTTTAAATCAGATAAACACCGGTGTACAGATTCAAGTCCAAACATATGTTGTTTAAAATATGCATTCACTTCAGGCAAAAGACACACCCAGAAGCTGTCTGATTTTTTTTTTTTTTACATATCATTAACGCATTGAAATCGGATACTGCTTTCAAGTAACCTACCTCCAGAAAAGGGCAACCTTCAATCAGGCTGGTTTTAGCAGTTTATTAAAAGTAAGTAATTTACCTATTACTAAGTTAAGCAAAACCAAATTAAGATACGTTTTCTGTTGAAAGTTAAAATTAGAACACCTTTTATAATATTATTAACTTTAACAGGTTGCTTAAGCTAAATTCAGGTTTTTTAGTCAGTTTTCAAAGGAGTCTCAAGCCACCTCAAGAGGCAATTGCATGTAGTTGTACGTAGTTATATACAGCTAAATCTGAAGGATTTATGTCAAAAGAAGTGAACAGTTACATCTACTAAATGATTATGTCCATTAAGGCCACCTTGGGAATTAAGAGTCTCCCTATATACTCCTGGATCACCAGGTAATCAAAATCTGTGTCTAGTATTCTTTTTCGATTTTCTGCTTTTCATGGGTAAATAAAGTGATTTAGGTAGTGTTCAGCAGCAAAAAGTAGAAGCAAAGCAGAACAACATTGCTTATGCTCTGACACTTCTCAATTCTGATAGAGCAAGATAGAAATCAGTGACCTATCTATCCACTTCCCTATCAGTAAATGGCAGAATTAATGTTCTGTCTGTTTATTCCTAAACTTTCCCAATTCTATTTTATTTCCAAAGATGACATGTAGGATTATCTGGGAGAAGGAAATAAAGAGTTCATCCGCTCAAGATCATCACTCCCTATTGCAGGTTCCCTGATTTAATCTGTTTAAAAAAAAAAAAAAAAAGAAAAAAAATCTTAAGGCTGACAAAACTTTTTCTAAAGCCACAGCTGGAGAGAGAGATGAACCAGTGAGACCCATCCTGCTCAAAAAAAATAAAAGTGGAGCAGGACATGATTTTTGCAGAAGCTGCTTGCATACACAATATCACTTGCAATAGGCAGTAGAAGGTTTTGCCTCTGGTACCTGTCTGGATGTTACTAGAGTCCCACAAAAACTCCTTATTGGATGCAGAAGACCTTTTTCACTCCTTTACTTTGTGTAAACAAGTATCTCATCCAATATCGTGGAGTATTTTTCATGGAAATTACACTAAAAGCAAAGGTTTCCCACACTCCTTTTCTTCTGCCCATTGAGTATAGCAATTTATATTACTTTCAGTTTATAATAGCTCTAAGACTTCATGACCATTTATTTCAACTCCTGTGATTAACCATTGCAATTTCACTTGTGTTTGAGGAAAATAATAAATTTTTCTTAAAAAATTTCCTAGTAATTGTGACTCTCCTACTAGTGTGTCATAAGTCCATGGTGAATATCCCAAGGTGCATACAGAAATTTATTTTTAGTAGTAATTATACTCGACTTTATATGATCCAACACTGAAACCATGAAAACCAAATTATACATAATTTGAATGCACTGATTACAACCAGAAAAACCATATGAACTCTATCTGAAAACTTTGCCTAGGGCAGAAAATGTTCAGCTTTTATAGAATTCATCCAAACAGTGAGTGTTTGCCTCCATTACAAATAAACTTAAACATCCTAAGGCAATCCACATTAGTGATGATTGTTAATGTCTTCAAGTCATGTCCTGCATGGGGCTAAGTGGGAAGTTAAGTGCATGATTGGAAGGACAATTAAACAATCAACATCTACAATGATGTAACTTCAAAGAAGAAAAAAGAGGAGTTAGTTTTATGTCATTAAGGAACACTCAAGTTGAAATGTTGTCAATTTGAATAAAAATAAGTAGACATAATTTCAGGATGGTGCTACTGCAATAAAACACCTGTCAGGTCTGTTCTACTCATTGTTTTAGTTTGTTGGGGTTTTTAAACATTTTGTGGTAAAAAAGGATCAAGAAGTGGCCAAAAAGGGAATCCAAAAGAGATGCCCTGTCTCCCGGACAGTAACATCTCCACTTTTCTCCTCTCCTTCCTTGGCACGGGGGGGGGGGGGGGGGGGGGGTTACTGCACCTGAAGCAACCGGGATGGAAATTTCTGCCAGAGGAAAGGTGCAGGTGCTTAAAGGCCACATCTGCTCTCATCATCACAGGCAAATTTGGTAAGGTCTTTGTCAGCATTTTGCGGCCCTCGATGTTAAGTATTCACCACTTTTATGTGTGTAGTTCTCATTGAAGTCAACAGCCAAAAGAATCTCACAGTGAGAAATCAATGGGAGTTACGGCCTAAATCTTTGAAGAATTTAGATCTGTTTGTCTGTTCCAATGGGGGAACAAGCTGCAGCTGGGACTCATCTCATGTAATTTTAGCAATTTGGAAGTTTGGTATCTATTCTAAAGCAGTTGTCTTGGCTTCTTCTGTAGTCAGTGGAGAAAGACATCCAGAGAGTGTTTACTACCTTTCTAAAACAAGCAGTCAAGGCTTTTGGAATGAATCAGCCTCTGGAGGATTTTCTCCTTCTCCACTGACTAGAAAGAGCCTTATCACTAGGATAGACGCTGGATTTCTAGACGATTCCCACTCTGTGCCTTCAAATATACACATTAAATAGCTAAATAGACTAAAATGTAAGCATATTTCTCAAAATTTTTCTATTATAGGTACTTTAAATGTTGTTGTAACAGTAAGAGGCCAAATTTCTCACAAATATGAATTGCTCTAGTTTTCAGTTTTATTATACCTCTGTAATAGTTTGCTTTGTTGTCTGCTAATGTAACAAGTTGTATTAAGGATTCATTAACAGATAAAATCTTGTAAGATTTAGTAAAACAACAGGGAAGAGCTATGCTTAAGTGAAGCATCATGTACAAATACAAAATTAGGACCCTGTGGAAAAGGATCTAGTAGTGCATGACTAAGTATGTGTCAACAGTGAAACATCAAAGGCGGCATTTTGGGATGTATCAGTTGGAGTTTTCTATGTGAGAGAAAGAAATAATATTCTGGTGAGGTCTGAGATGAAGTACTGTATCCCATTTGGGGGTCAGATATAAAAGGAGGGGAGAGGAGTGGAGAGGGCTACAGAAAGCTGGTAAAAGCTTAGGAGGACACAGTTTACAGCTCTCACAAAATGAATATCCAGTGTCTCAGCTCAGCAAGCAGCACTTGAGATTTTGCATAAAGCTATCCCGTTGCCATCACTGGGAACCAGTGAGTCACAGCAGGCTGTAGTGTCGTCTGGACTCGCTCCCCCCTTTCTGCTGTTGGTTGCCTGTTGCTTTCCCAGTTATTATATAAAACAAAATAAGCAAGCACTGTCCCAGTAAGAAGCTGGCCAAATGCACATTGCACCACTTCCACAGCTGCTGAGATGGTTACTTGCAATAGAGTTGTTTGCCAATGAAGTCTGACTTTCTGAGTGGGAGCATCAAGGAGCAGGCTGGATCAGAGAGCAGCAAACACAGCCTGCTGCTCTGGGCGCCAGCTAGAGCCCAGCGGGAGCTGTAGCGAACCCCAGCACTGTGCACCAGCTGGCCAGATTGGTGAACGGTGGTCTGCAACGCGCTCTTTGTATTGATCTCGTTAATATGGAATTGGGAGAAACTGTAAGGGATACTGGTATGAATCCTGTTTGTGGCTCTGATGCTCTGTGGGAATCCTACACAAGCAAAACTTTCTATGGCCTCTTTTACATCTCTCGCATTCAGGCAACGTGGTTTGGGAAGCCTCTGAAATGCAGATGTCACCTTCCAAATAGCCCTGTTAGCTGCCGGCTGACACTAGGAGACTGAGCTTTGTCCACTTCCTAACGGCTGTGGCACTTCTCCTGGCCCTCAGTGACTTTGTCAGGTGGGTTTTCTGCTAGGGTAAGCTAAGAGAACCATCAGCACACATTTCCATGAACGTTGTCTGTCGTGAAGTTTTTCTTTTTGTTGTTTTCCCTCCCAGGTTTGCAGCCTAGTCATCTCCTCTCAGTCATTGCTCCCTTTCACTGGCCTCTCCACGCATTCCAATCTATCAAAGGCAATAGTTAGCAGTGCAGAGTGTTGCACATGCTGAATCTTGAAATACTTTTCTGGTTGTGTGCTGTCATCTCCAAACAAGAAACTTTTGGTTCAGGGACCCTCCTTGCAGTTGTGGTCTCTATTGCTGTTGCAGTTTATGGAGAGGAAATAAATAGGATAAAAGGGTACAATGCTTTAGCATTGCTACAAGGAAAATAGCTCAGTGTACATTTCACTTTGGACTCTGCTGACCTTGGCAGTAGAAAAAGCAAACTTCTAGAGACGCCAACAACAGTGCTGGCATCCTACCACATCCTAGGTGGGTCAGGAGACACAGTGCCACAATGTGGATTATTAGGTGCCTCGTCCCACATCTACGGTGTCAAAATTGAAGCAGTACTACCACAGGCATGATCAAGCTGGGCACAAGTCTGGCAGCAGTGATTAAGAAACCCTGGCTTTCATTGAATTGCAGACACTTGATAATTGAGTTAACCTTTGAGTGATTTAGAATCAGAAAAGTCTCCACAAGGTTGGCTAAGCTACTTCTACAGTATGAATTTCCCAATTTTGTGGAAACAAACAAACAAAAATCTAGAAACTAAAGTAAACAGAAAGACGTTTGCAGATCATTTTAAACTTTGAGAATATTACATCTTATTTTAATCATAATGAAAAAAATTTCCTCCGCTAATACACCACATTATCCACATTAATATTTTTCATTCTGATTTTTTGTTAGAAAAAACCTGCTAATGATAAATGCAAAATTACTTTCCTAGAATTTTGATAAAATCATACCCACACTCACCGAGTACCACATGTGAGTAATAGTTCAGTTATCCCACTGATGTCACTGAGATGGAATTAAAAGTGCTGAAATTTTCAGTGATGGATATTTCACTGCAGCTGTGAGCAATGTGTTCCTCAGAGACTAATTCTCCTGGGGCAATGTTAAACCCTTGGACTTGCATCTTATTAGTAAAATAATACAATTTAAAAATAATATCAGAAGAGATCTAGCCAACAAACTTAGCCATGTGTATATTTCAGTTTGTATAGAAATTAATCTCTTAAATTATAAATAAATGTGCTTTTCACACATATATATGGCTGCGTGTCATAAAAAATAAACTATGAAGTATGTTAAAATAAAACCAACAAGACGATATTCGGAGTTAAAACTAAAACCATAATCGCTTACATGGCTTTTGAATATATGTCATTGTCTACAAAATGGCAACAATTAAATATGAAGTGGTAGAATTTTTTTAATTTTTAAGTGTAGCTGCCTGACTTTCGCATTTTAAATCTCTTAAACTTGCTCTCACGCTTTCCAAATACTTCATTCTCTAATTTATGTTCTTAAACAGATGTTTTTAAATTAAGTATATATTTAATTATAAAATACATTAGAACAGCTCACACAAATGAGTAATTCTACCAAAGAAGCTACTACTCGCTACTTTGCAAATGCAAACAACCCTTTGTTGTTGCTATTGTTATGTAGTGGCATACACTGATCTCCAGAGCTGTAACGAATGGACTATTGTAAAAAGCCCTGATTCAGAAGAGCATGTATTTAAGAAGAAGGTTTGGACACAGAACGGCAAGCCCGGTGGGGTGGATGGTGAGAACTCTCCCTGGCCAGGACCCCTCCATGAACCAGGACCTGAGTGTACAGACTTGTGGCAAAGCGGACCTGCCTGCAGTTGACAGGGAAAGTCATTATAGCTGCAAGTAGTCGTGAGTGGCTCGAAGCTGTCTCTAGCACTATTCCTTCAAGCAAATCAGATGTGCCTGAACAGCCTTTAGCCTGTGGCCTGAGGACCTTTCCATACCCTTGGCCAATTTCTCAAGTGGGGAGGATGAGGGAGTGCAGCCAAACAAGAGTATCCCTGTAAATGGTTCCTCATACCATTTTCTCAAGCAGCGGTGACTTTGGCTGGATTTTCCCATGCAGCAGGCTGCCTGCTCAGACCTGCCCCTACCACCTTTTCCACGGTGTGAGCACAGCTGCCTGTGGTGCCTTACAGGAAGCCAGATCATGATGGGGTTTTTTTGCTGGAGTTATTTTTAATCTGGCTCTGTTCATTCATCTGGTTTGTCATTTGGCCCCACAAAGGATTCCAGGTGCAATAATATGAATCAGGGAACAAGTGGCAAGGCATTAGGGGTCCTGGGTGCACCTTAGCAGTTGTTACCACTGAAAACAACATATCAAATAAATTGTGGCCTGAAGAATCTCATTTAATGTGGTGGTAAATCCAGTTTTTGGGCACCGAGTCTGAGATTAGAAACATCTCAGTCCCTTGAACTTAGAAAACCTCACTTGGCCTCTTCAAATGCGTTCAGTATTTTCTCCATAGGTATCTCTGTCCTTGAAACTGCTGGCTCAAATGTTGCTTCCCTCTAGTAGCTTAACTTTATGCTGGATCGGGATGAATCTATCTGTAGCTCAGACAAAGCTAGTATAAAATCCTCAAGATAGCATTAAACATTATCCTGCCCAGTTTGGCAGAATGCAATTGCATATTCACACCTGATCTGGCTCCAGTGTGCACTTACATTTACTCCAGTAATGCGCAGGTCTGGTATTAGTGATCTTGGAACCTGCAGTACAAGAAAAACAAGCTCATTTTCAAAAGCCTGACAGAGATTCATACTGCCAGTAAAAAATGCATAGGGGCTCAAAAATTGAAAAAT